TCTCATGGAGAGTGGAGGGTTTCTCAGAGTAGAGGCTCCTGGTGGACTTTGCTTTGGGAACTCATGCTCCTCCACAACCAGCACAATTCTATTTTTGGGGCTTTGCAGTGGAACCCCAAGAGGTCTGCCCTTTCCTGTCAGCTCTTCTGGGTGACACAACACCATGCCCCCACTGGTACGAGAGGTGTACCCTTTCTCCATCACTAGTGGTGAATCTTTGGCCACTCCGTTTTAACATTCCTAGTTCTTTTTCTGATGGCACCAACCAAAGAGGATTGCTTGGAGGAGCGTTGCTTTCTTTCTGCAAAATGACTTTTTGGGGGGGCATCTATTCTTTTCTCTTAAGGAAAAGGCATGTCTAATGCCAGAAAATGCTCACTTCCTCCTCTTTGCAGAATTCTTGTGGATTATGAGAAAAAATGGACGCAGACATTACTGCATTTCAGATTTCTGAGGTGCCCATAAACTAATCTCACTGTATATTTTCACGCAAGGACACCCTCCTGAAGCTGACCCATGGAGGGGTGCAAATCTTTCCAAAGTGCATGTTGTCTGAAGTCTTGTCATGATCTGAAGACTCCTTCTTATAGGACTGCTTACAGAAAAGAGATCAAACAGAGAAATTTGGAGAAGGGCTCTGCTTTGGCAGAGTTACATCAATGGTTTGAAAACTAGAAGAAAATGCTTTTGGAAAACCAAATTGGCTATCCCGTTTTTGGTTAAAACCCACAAATGATAAGAGTGTGTAGGGCTGAAGAAATAAAGTACATTTGATGAAATTCCTGTATTACAGACCCAGGCAATGCTGGGGAAATCTGCTAGTCTGTTATAAATCCTCTCCATCTTGTCTAGAGTGGACAGTACTTCACTGATCGATTATAACCCCTAATTTCACTTCTTAGCACCAGACTTCACAACCTACAGTTTAGACACAGATACAGCTAGCACCACCAGCTGCAAATCTAACTCGTTCTAAATGAGAAATTCGGTGTGGCTTATATGCTTGGCTACATCAACCAAAGGAAGACATTGAGGCAGTTCTGCTGAATCTTATTGCTTTAGATGAAGTGTCTGGCTTTCAGTAAAATTTCATTCTCTCTCTGCTCTATCGTTCCAAAATATGAAATAAAAGCTAAAAACTTGATTTGTTTTACTATGTACCGCCTGATGGTAAGCATCGCATCTTCTTTCCTCATCCCTTTCACAGCTGCATACACCTCCAGATGTTGCTGCACAGTCAGGTTTGGCCAGAGAGGGTTCTCTTGGGGGCAGTGGCCTAGAAAGCCAGTTGTGCTCTCTTCCAGTTGAGCTTCAGCGGCACCTTTCCCTTTCACCAGCACCTGAACAAACAATCTGTTATTCTGCTCATAGAATCATAATCATAGAATCCTAGAGTTGGAAGAGCCCTTAGAACAGTGTTTCTTAAAGGCAGTCAGAGTGTGCCGTGGAGAACAGAATTCAAAATGGCTGCCCTTAAAGGGGCAGGTGACTTTGTTTTGTCAACCTTTTTTCCCTCAACTCCTCCCTCCCCCCTTTTTTTCCCTCAACAAAAAATCCTTTGTTTTCCTTAAAAAAAAAAAAAAAGCCTTCGTGTTCCTCGGTCTTGAAAAGTTTAAGAAACACTGCCTTAGAAGGTCATCGAGTCCAGCTCCCTGACCAAAGCAGGCCCAACCCCAACTAAATCATCCCAGCCAGGGCTTTGTCAAGCCAGGACTTCAAAACCTCCGGGGATGGAGATTCCACCACCTCCCAAGGTAACCCATTCCAGTGCTTCACCATCCTCCTAGGCTATGTCTACACTGCAATGCTATTTCAGGATATCGGAGTATCCTGAAATAGCTATCCCGCGTCTTCACAGCAAGCCCGTTATTTCAGGCTTGATATTCTGATGTCCCTGTAATTCTACAAGGAATAAGGGACATTTTGGGACAGTGCTTTATTTCAAAATCTGGCACTGTGTAGGCAGCGCCATATGATGAAATAAGCTATTTCAGAACATCATTGGAATAAGATACGCAATTTGTGTAGCTCAAATTGAGTATCTTATTTTGAGTTACGGTGCAATGTAGATGCACCCCTAGTGAAATAGCTTTTCTTCATATCCAAACTAGACCTCCCTCACTTTAACCTGAGACCATTGCTTCTCGTTCCGTCATCACTGAGAACAGCCTAGCGCCATTCTCTTTGGAACCCCCCTTTAGGTAGTTAAAGGCTGCTACCAAATCCCCCTTCACTCTTCTCTTCTGCAGACTAAATAAGCCCTCAGCCTCTCCTCGTAAGTCATGTGCTCCAGCCCCCTAAACATTTTTATTGCCTTCCACTGGACTCTTTCCAATGCAGCCACATCCTTTTTGTCCATCAGTAGCTATTAGCCAGGATAGGTTGGAATTGTGTCCCTAGCCTCTGTTTGTCGGAGGCTGGGAATGGGTAACAGAGGTGGGACCACTTGATGACTGAACCTAAGAACAGCCATGCTGGGTCAGACCAAAGTTTTCCCTAGCCCAATATCCTGTTTTCTGACAGTGGCCAATGCCAGGTGCCCCAGAGAGAATGAACAGAACAGATAATCATCAAGTGATCCATGCCCTGTCACCCATTCCCAGCTAATAGCCATTGATGGATCTGCCCTCTATGAATTTATCTAGTTCATTTTTGAGTCCTATTAAAGTCCTGGCAAGGAGTTCCACAGGTTAATAGTCCATTGTGTGAAGAAATGTTTCCTTTTGTTTGTTGCTAACCTCGTACTTATTAATTTCATTTGATGACCCCTAGTTCTTGGTTTTCCTTAATGTACTGTTTACAGTTAGCAGTGGGTTTGTCATTCAGGCCAGGTCTACACTAAAAGGGAAGGTTGAATTAAGATATGCAACTCCCGCTATGTTAATTATGAAGCTAGAGTTTCCCCGCTTGTTTCACGTATCCCCACTTTCCTCACAGCAGAAGGCCAATGGGAGCAAATGCTCCTACCAGCTTCCTTTACTCCTTGTGGAAGCAGGAGTACCGGCTGCCGACTGGGGGTGCCCTCTGGGTTTTATTTAGTAAGTCTTAGCTAGACCCTCTAAATCAAACACCGGAAGATCAATCATGGCAGCGCTGATCTTGTATTTTGTGAAGACATGGGCTCAGCCTTTTATTTCAGAGTCTATCCTGTTTCACCTACCTGCCCAGCAGTCAGTGCTGTCTCTCCAGCAATCATATTGATAGTTGTGCTTTTGCCAGCCCCATTGGGCCCTAATAGTCCAAACACCTCTCCTAGAACAAATATGGATCATTTTTAGTAAGACTTGCCTGTGCTGACAGAATGTTTGCCACATTCCCTAAACAAGAAAAAAACCAAAAGAGAAACTCTTTGCTCAAACAACAGTCATTAAAAATGCAATAAGAATGGTCTATAACTGAGATGTTCTAGCACATGAGTGGTCTACATACATCATCTTCCAGTCAGACAATCCTCAAAATCATTGTAGTTACACATTCCTGGGTACTAACCTTTTTTAACACAAAAAGAGACATTTTTGGTGGCCACTTTCTTCCTTTTTTTAAATACCGAACTGGCTTTCTTGTCTTTATATTCCTTGCGCAGATTGTTGACAATGATAATGGGTTTCTGGGGAAAGGAAGGAAAGTAGAGAGAATTTATTAAGAAGAAATCTCTGCCACAACCCTAGGCAGTCCAGTCATTCTCACTGGTGTGTGAGGTTGCTGTACATAGGTTTTATTCAGAACACTTTCTGTGAATAATTTGTTGCCACTGAAATGCCTGAATTTTCACTGTGAAGGGATGAGATAGATGTTCTACTGTGGTCAAATCTACTAGAGAGTTATGTCAATCCCATATACAGGCAGTCCCCGTGTTATGTACAAGATAGGGACTGTAGGTTTGTTCTTAAGTTGAATCTGTATGTAAGTTGGAACTGGCGTCCAGATTCAGCCGCTGCTGAAACTGATCAGTTTCAACAGCGGCT